TTCGCGAGCGTGAGACGCTCAACAAAATGTGTGCACTTCGTGCCAGGCAAAGGCGCGCATGCCTCTGTGTATCTGTAGTGCGGCTCCCGCCCTCGCGCTGAGGTGGAGGAAGACAATTCTGCATAAACGTGAACCTCCAGAGATCCGCGCGGATTTCTTGGATCGCCGCAGGACCCTTTCCTCGGCGCCGTCTCGCGCTAGATCGCCGTGAGGTCCCCAGGCACGCGCTGTTGCGCTCGGCGAGCTAGGGAGGAGGGTCCAGTGGCCAGGTCTACCATCGATCTAAGCAGTCCGCGTGGATCTCCGAAGGTGATGATAGGCTTCGCTCGGCCAGGAGCCTGCGAGGCCGGCGCACCTTCGGGTCAGGGGGCGCGCCTCTCTTCGGACGGGGCTAGGACGAGGATAAAAATCAGTTCCAGAGCGTTCCAGGACGCTCTGGGAGCGTTCCAGAACGCCCTGAGAAGGCCGCAGCGCCCGAGACGTCCTCTGGACCCGCTGGATCTCAGAGATTCTCGATTCATCCTCACCCGATTGCACCCTTGTCCTGGCTTCGCCTGACTCCCTCCTTCGCGGGACGTCAGCCGACCACGCCACCCAGTCTTGGCCCCAGGAGACCAGTGCGCCTGCGCTTCAGGGGGGGAGGAGGGCGTGTACGCCCCCGATCCTGGCGCCAGGTGAAGGGGCCCCTGGCTTGGGTCGCCCCAGGAGACCGGTGCCCCTGCGCTTCCAGAGGGGGAGGAGGGCGTGTGCGCCCCCGATCCCGGCGCCGGGTCAGGGGCCCCTGGTTCGGGTCGGCGCGGGCGCGCGCCGCCCTCCCCGCCGCCTCCCCGCGCCCCCGCTGGCCTCGCCTGTCGTCCTCGGAGAAGAAGCAGTGGCACAGACATACACGTTGTTCACTTTCAATTCTTCGAGAGTTCGTTGATTTTTTGGGGGGCTAAGCTCCTTGGATTTCTAATTGTTTTATCCTGGGCCTCTTCCTGGCCACTGGGGGGCCAGGAACAGTTAGAAACGAGCACAATTAGAATTGAGCACGGTCAGAAATGAACGACATGTAAGCTTTGGAGCTCCGCGCAGAGCCAAGGAATCCGCGCGGAGCTCCGAAAGTTTATATGCTCATGCCGTTGTTGGCTCTTCTGCGCCCGTCATGCGTCCGTCGGTGCGTGTCGTCTCTCTGCTCTCTGCCACTGGTCTCCTCTTGCGTTGGCAACAGAGCGTGATTGGCCCCCGCCGCCGCCCGGCTTGTCCGCTCCGCCGCTCGCCCAGCTGCGACGCCACAGGGGCGTGTGGCCGCCGCCCCCCTGCCTCCGCACCGTTTGACCGATCCCCATCCCCGCCGGGCCGTGGTTGGTACGCCCCGCCAGGCCATTTCCCTGGGCGGGAATGTGCCCCGCGAGGCCCGAAGGAAGGCGAGCCCAGATCGGATCGGCGATCGAAATGAGCCAGGGCAGCGGAAGCGGGGGAGGAGTTTGACCGGGGAGAGCGGCAGGCGAGCAGGGCCTCCGTGAGAGATCGGCATGCCAGGCCGAATATCGAATCGGAGTCGGCAGCCATCGACACTGAATCGGAGGAGTCGAAGGGAGCCCTCCCGAGGGGCACCCAGGGGAGAGGGCTAGCCAGTGGGGCCGCGCTCTTCCCTCGGACTGGACGGAACGGGAGGGTAGGACAGGGAAAGGGGGGGGACGAAATCTGCTGCACGCGGCTGCTTCCCGCCCCGCCGCCGGGCCCCTTCCTCGATGCATGGGCGCCTCCCGGCGCCAGGAGGCGCAAGGAAAGCCAGCTGCGTGAGCCGATAGTCAATCCTACCCTTTGCTATCCGACCCTTCTGAACTTCCCGACCGTTGGGCCGCGTCCAAATTCCCCCCCCGCCCCCCGCCAGGGCCGCCGAGCCGAGGCAGGACGCGTCGGCCGCTCGTGGGGGGTTTGCCGATCCGCCGCCGCGCGCGCCCCTCCCCGCCGGGGAAGCGCTCTGGGCGCAGTTGTTTCTGGGGCGCTTCGGGGGCCTCGTGGGGGCATAGGGGCTCGTCGAGGAGGAGGAGGAGAAGGAGGAGGAGGAGGAGGAGGAGGAGGAGGAGGAGGAGGAGGAGGAGAAAAAAAAGGAAACGTACCTCCGAGTACCTTTCCCGGGCAGCCCGCAGATACCTCAAAGTACCTTTCCTGTGCAGCCCGCAGGTGCTTCCAAGCAATTACCTTCCCTCGTTAGCCCGCAGGTGCCTCCAAGTACCTTCCCTGGGTATCCCGAAGGTGTCTCAAAGCACTTCCCTGCCATTCCGACGGGCGCCGAAGGTTCTCGGAACGTACTGATACCGCTGCTCGTCCTGGAGATCGGTCGTCGCCGCGGCTGGATTCTCCTCGAAATTCTGATCAGAACCCGCCCTGGAGGTCCGTGGAGTAGCGATATCGGTGCATGTCTATCCCCCTTGAGGAGGAGGAGGAGGAGGAGGAGGAGGAGGAGGAGGAGGAGGGGGAGGAGGGGAGGAGGAGGAGGAGGATGAGGAAGGAGGGAGGGGGAGGAGGAGGGAAGGCGGGAGGCGGGAGGCGGAGGCGGAGGAGGGCGGAGGAGGAGGAGGAGAGGAGGAGGGGGAGGAGGAGGAGGAGGAGAGAGGAGGAGGAGGAGGAGAAGGCGGAGGTGGAGGCGGGGATGATGATGATGAGGGGGAGGAGGAGGAGGAGGAGGAGGAGGAGGAGGAGGAGGAGGAGGAGGAGAGGAGGAGGAGGAGGAGGAGGAGGAGGAGGAGGAGGAGGAGGAGGGAGGAGGAGGAGGGAGGAGGAGGAGAGGAGGAGGAGGAGGAGGAGGAGGGAGGAGGAGGAGGAGGAGGAGGAGGAAGGAGGCGGAGGCGGAGGCGGAGGAGGAGGCGGAGGAGGAGGAGGAGGGGAGGAGGAGGAGGAGGAGGAGGAGGAGGAGGAGGAGGAGGAGGAGGAGGAGGAGGAGGAGGAGGAGGAGGACGAGGCGGAGGCGGAGGAGGAGGAGTAGGAGGAGAAGATGGGTGATGGAAGGCAGAGGGGCGGAGGGAAAGATGGGGTAAGCAAGTTCGGTGCGCTCGCGCCATGTCTGACATCATACCCCTCCCATCCATCCCTTCGCGCTGCGCTGGTTCTTTCTCAGGCCGCCGACGCGTGTCGTAGCGGACCTCGGATTCCAAGAAGGACACCCTCGTGTTTTGCGCAACAGAGAACATGGAGCTGCGTACATCGAAGGAGAGGGCGGATGAGCAAGAAGATGAGCAGGTGTCAGAGGGGGAGATGAAGGCGGAGTGAGGGCTAGGAGGAGGATGAGGAAGAGGAGGAGGAAGCGAAATGGGGAGGAGGATGAGGAGAAGGAAGATGAGCAGAGTAGCAGGGACGGAGGAGGAGGAGGCGGTGGTGAAGAACCAGGATGGGGAAATGCTTCCGTGGGAGGTGCCGCGCTGGATGGATGGCCTTCTGCCATGAAAGAGCGGAGAAGAGGGAGAGGGAGAAAGAGACGGAAGAAGAGCAGGAGCAGGTGGAGAAGAACCAGAGTAACCAGTAAGCCCAAGACGTGTCAACGATTTCCAATATGAACTTGCGATGTTGCAAGATGCACCAGCGATGCTGCAAAAGAGTCCTCTCCGCTCCTACAGGCCTTTCTTTGCACTACAGGCGCGCCTCCTTGAAAGACCAGCACCCCGATGGGCCTGCCACTGAGGTGATCGCCCTTCTGTGCACAAAGAAGCTGTCTTGCAGTCACGTCGAAGAGACGGCGAACTCCCGCACGGGCAGCCGTACCATGTGTTTGAGCTTCGGGCTGCACGTCCTCTAAAAAAAAACACCAAGAAAGCACCGAAATTGGATGGTTTTCGCGTGTCGGGCCCTGGGAGGCGAAACTCGCTCGACGCTTCGTCAGCGTGCCGGGCAGACACTGTTCCGATGCTTGTTCTGGATGTTCGAACTTACTGCTGGGATGTGATCCTTAGGCATGACGGGAGCCGCGTGAATCCACGGAAAGAGATGCCAAGCGAACACCACACTCAGAAAAAGGAGCCGTCCTCTATCCCCACAGCTGCTGCGAGCTTCCAACAAGTGGTGCGCGGCGCGGAGGCGAGAGCCCAACTCTTCGAGAACGGAGCTGCCCAACTTCAGATATCTCAAAAAGGCGAGAGCCCAACTTTGAAAAAGGCGAGGCTGTTGCACGATTTTTCCAACTTGATAAAGGAGGCGAGGGCCCAAATTTGAGAAAGGCGAGGCTGTTGCACTTTTTCAAAAGGACTGCGCGCGGCGCGAAGGCGAGAGCCCCACGCTGCAAAGAAACCGCGTCCGTGCCGCTGTTCGGGCCACTGCGCGCGGCGCTAAGGCGAGAGCCCAGTTTAGAGCCCCCCCCCCAGCCCTGCAGCTGCTGCAAGCTTTCCAGGCGAATGTGCGCGCCGGAGAGGCGAGAGCTCCATTTTGAAAACCACCACCCCTCTGTCCACGCAGCTGTCGCAAATGTCAAGCCTCAGGGCCATATATATATATATATATATATATGGTGAAGAAGTCTCAGGCTAAACGCCTGGCCCGCATTACCTACACGTCTGGGGCTATAACAAGGAGGACGTATTTATAAGGAGCAAGGATTGAGGAGGAGAAGGAGGAGAAGGATGACAAGGAGAAAGAGGAGGAGGAGGAGGAGAAGGATGAAAAGGAGGAGGAGGAGGAGGAGGAGGAGGAGGAGGAGGAAAGGCCCACCTCGATCCAGACCAGGAATGCATCACATCAGAAGAACAATTTCTCTGGCAAGGCAACTGTTATGTCGACACAACTGCCAAAGGAGCGTTGGCCTGGGGGATGCCAGCCAATCCCCCCGCGTGCCTGCTCAAGCGCCAGGTCCGTCTCTCGAGGCCTGGCGGGCCGCGCTGGAATCCTTCGCTCTTCGATCCCTGCGATCCCGGCGATCCTTTGATCCCTCGATCCTCGACCCTGCGATCCCTCGATCCCTCGACCCTGCGAGCCCCCCAACCCCGCGATGCTACGATCAGCCGCGCCCTCCCCGCCCCCCGCGCGTCAGCTTCAGGCTCCGGGCCCCCCGCTGTTTTTTTTCCCTCGCGGCCCGCTCGCCGCAGACGCCTCCCGCGCCGGCAGCCGCCCGGCCGCGGAGGCCACGCACGCGCGCGCGCGGGAGCAGCCGGAGATCCGCTGGCCCGGGAGCATCGGGCGTCGAGTAACTGGCGGGCGATGAGCGGGAGACCTGGGCGCCCATAGATTCGAACCTGTGGGGTCTGAGGTTTTGGGGGAGAATTTCGGCCCTCGGGGAGCCTCTTTCGGGCCCTTGTGTCGCAGAACAAGAAACGCATGTTTTTGTGAGTGGTTCCTATTCCTGGGACCAGCTTCTTCTTCCTGAGGCTTCCCGGGCAGGAGTCCAGATTGTCGGGCGCCGAGCAATGGGGGTGCGATAATTGACGGTGGAAGAAATGTGGTGCGCCTTTTGTGCCCGACAGGGGCCGTATAGAAGGCACAAATGGTGCACGGATCTCTCCCCCCCTTTCTCGCCCCCCCCATGAACTGACGCCCGAAAGAACGCCCGCCCAGACAAGTCGGCTAAGGATATCTGCGCCGGTTCACCCAGCATTGTCATTCGAGTGCGCCAGCGCAGTCCCCAGCCGAATTCGCTAATAGACCTTCGTTTCGCCGTGTGAATTTTGTTATTTTTGGACGTCGATTAGCTTTCCCTCTGGGGCCCTGGGGCCTACTCGGAATGCGGTGCCGTGCACACGTGGAGTGTCCCTGGCGATTTTCACTAAAGGTCATGTTGATTAAGCGTTTTCTATCACTCTTCGAAGGAGGCTTTTTTTAATACCTGCAACGTATGAACAAAAACAACAGCACGGATGTGTGTGTGTGTGCTCATTCCAGCCAGGATGCAGCTTTGCTGCACCTTGTCCTGCGCCCCCACCTGGGCGGCGCGCGGCCCGCCGGTCTTGCACTTAGTGCTTTTCGTCGGCTACTCGCTCTGGCGGGGCTGGCCGCGCCAGCTCACCGAGGGAAGAGATCCGCCCCCCCCTGGGTGGCCCTCGCGCCTACCCTCCCCCTTCTGCGACCGCCCGCTCTGTCCAATTTTTCCGCTCTTGCATGCTGGCCAGTTCGCTACAACGGTGTCCCCGTTTAGACAGCTCGTTCCGCCAGCGCAGACGACCCCTGCCCAGCCGCCGACGCAAAAGTGTGTGTGTGTGTGTGTGTGTGTGTTTGTGTGTGTGTGTGTGTGTGCGTGTGTTCGCAGTTTTCGGCCTCCAGGGGGGGCTGGTTTCTGGTTCGAGGACCATCCACAAGTTACACAGAATGAGGAACCAGCCTTGTGAAGAGGGTTCGGCCCTTAGGGAATCGTATTGAAAAGCGTTCAGGCATCGAATGTTTGGGTTCGCCAGTTTCGCGCTCTGGAAGCAGGCTTTCGGGCTTCGGGACTGTCAACAAACTGCTCAGGAGGATACCTGGGTCGAGTCCCGTGGAAGGGAGCAGGGGGGTGGCCATGTCTCGAACAGGGGGCCATATCTCGAACAACTACTGCATCGACGGATCTTTGGGCTCCCGCTGGGATTCGAAATTTTCGGGTTTTAGTTTGTCGGGGGCGTGTCCGACCGTGGGGAGCCGCTTCCGGGCCCTGGGGTCGCAGAACAAAGATTGCATGTTTTTGCGAATGGCCCCGTTTCCTCGGACCAGCTTCTCCGTCCTGAGCCGAGTCTGGGTGCAGACTAGGTGGGTAATGGTGGTGCGATAAATGGGGGGGCGGGGAAAGGTGCACAGTTTGTGCCCCCCTACAGGGCCCCCGTGGGGCCCAAAAGGGGACGCAAGGTGCACGTTTTCGCCTCCGTCCCCCCCCATTTATCGCCCCCCATGAATTAACGTCTGAGGATGGCTAGACATTGAGGTCGCGCTTTGGCCTACCTACCGAAGGCAGGATTCCCGCTGCCCCCTTCTCCTGGTCTCGGGACTCCCTGTGGCTCTCCTCCAAGTAGTCACTGAGGAGCACGCCTGGTATAGCGCCTGATGCGACGGCAAGAAGCAGCATTCGGTGTCAAACGGCTACCTTCGAATGGTCGAGTCGGAGACCCAGTGCGATCAGATTCAATGCGTGGCTCATTCGATTGGTTAGTCCTCCTGCGACGCGTGTGTCGATACAGGTGTCCCTGGCAGATAATGTCCGGGACCCTTTTCTTGGCGGCGCTTGGTTGGACCCCCACATTCTCGGACTCGACATAGTTCGCCCGCGCCCACTCCCTTCTCCTCCGCATCTCTCCGGGTTAGCATTCCAAGAAGGTCTCACCGTCGCTTGTCACGGACATATCACACCCGAGCGAGTTGTCTGAGTTGGGGGGCTGAACTTGGGACTGGTCTGAAACTGCGTGAAACAGCGTTGGGTAATTATGGCTTCGTCTTGCAGTGCTAATGGCAGCTGGTTCAGCATTGCCCTGTTGGGCGGGTTCTTTTGTGACCCTCTTGGGTTACTCTTAGAGCTCTCCAGGGACCTCCAGTGCCATCTCGGATGGCCCCGAGAGGGGCCCAAGAGGATTCCAAATGGAGCCCAAGAGTAGTCAAACCGAAGTCACGCGAGAGGGCTCTCGCGGGACTTCTTGCGAGGCGAAGGCGACTGAGGCCGAATTCGCCCCACTGCCTCTTGAAACCTTACACTCCCACGCTTTCTAGAACCGACCGCACGTCCAACTTTGATGTCTTCACCCGCTTGATAATTTGCGCGACCACGTGGCCCGCAACCTTCCTCTGGAGGCAGCCCAAAAACGTGAAGACACCTTGGACCGTTCGTCTCAATTCCTTCTGCTTTGCAGAGAAATAGCCGCCGAACCCTGGGGTCTGACATGGCGAACACCTCTGCAACAGCGTGAAAAATCATAACCAGAGCGACAGTTCCTCGAGCCAGAACGATCCACGAGGGCCTTGGAGGCCCGAGGCACGGCAAACCGCCTGGTGTGGCAGCAGTCAGAGCCTGCCTTCGACGGAACGAGGAGCCCACGCAGGTCTCCAGGGGTTCTCGGAAGTCCTGGGCGCAGAAGTTGCCGCAGACGGGAGATTTTGCTTCCGCCTCGTCGTCGTCGTCGTCGTCGTCGTCGTCGTCGTCTTCGGGGTTTGGGGGGAGAAGCAGCAGCGGGCCGGGTCAGCACAGTGCAGCAGTCCTGCAGGCCGCGCCGCCATGCTGGCAGGCCGGGCGTGCCAGCAGTTGGTGGATGGGCAGGCTAGCGGGTCGGCCCCCGATACCGATTGTTTTGATATTTTTATGCGCCCCCCTCCAGGTCCGGCGTTTCATGCTGAATCGTTTGTTGGACGGCCACGAACCAGACACCGGGCCCCCAGAGACCGAATTTGATGTAAGTTCGCAGCTGCGCAGCCCTCTTAGTCCAAGACGATGGATGTCGTGGGCCGGCGCGGGGGCGGGGGGGGGTCGAGGGCGAGCGCCTTGGGGAGAGGTCGAGGGCGACCGGAGTTCATTTGCAACTTATATATATATATGTATACATATGTATTTATACGTGCGTAAGCATGTATATATGTATATGTATATGTCAATGCATATTTATTTGTATGTGTATATATACTTGTATTTGTATACGTATATGTACATGTATTTGTATATGCATACGTGCAGGTATATGTATATGTATGTGTATGTGTACATGCATATGCATATGCATATGTACATGTGCAGGTTTAGGTATATGTATATGTACAGGTAGATGTATAGGTATTGGTGTGTGTATGTATTTGTGCGTGTGTATATGTACATGCTTATGTATATGTATGTGTATATGTTGATGCATATGTAGATGTAGATGTCTATGCATACGTATGTGCATATGTATATTACAGGTATACGTATGTGTATGTGTATACGTATATGTATATGCATATGCATATGTATATATATATATATATATGCATATGGGCATGCATATGTTTATGCGTATGTACATGCATATGTATATGCATATGTATATGTATGTGTATATGTATAGGTATCGGTATAGGTACCTGTTTATGTACATGCATATGCATATGTAGATGTATATGTCGATATTTGTATATGTATATATATATATATATATATAGTGACATGTATATGTATATATGTAGGTATATGTTTATGCATATGTATATTTGGTTGTGTATGTAGGTGTATATGTATATGTACATGCATTTGTCTATGTCTATGTCGATGTCCATGTCTATGTCTATGTCTATGTTTATGTTTATGTATATATGTATGTCCATGTATATGTACATGTACATGTACATGTACATGTATATGCATACGTATACGTTTATGTTTATGTATATGTGTATGTATATGTGTAAATATATGTATATGTATATGTATATGTATATGTATATGTCTATGTACATGTATATGTATATGTATATGTATATGTAAATGTATATGTATATGTGTATGTATATGTATATGTATACGTGTATGTATGTATGTATGTATGTATGCCTGTATGTCGGTATGCATGTATGTATGCATGTGTGTGTGTATGTATGCATGCATGCATGTATGTGTGTGTATGTATGTATGCATGAAAATATGTATGTATGTATGTGTATGCATGTATGTATGTATGTATGTATGTATGCATAGGTATGTGTATGTGTATGTGTATGTGTATGTGTATGTGTATGTGTATGTGTATGTGTATGTGTATGTGTAGGTGTATGTGTATGTGTATGCATGTATGTATGTTTGTATTTATGTATGTAGGTCTATATGGATGTATTTATGTATGTATGTATATATACAGATACATATCTATATATATATATATATTTATGTGTATATATATATATATATATGTATAATGACTCTCGCTGGGGGCGGCAGTCGCGCGAGGGGCGAGGGCGAGGCGGCCGAGCCCGCGTCGATCCTCGAGGCCCCGGGTCGGAGGAGCCCGCCCCGGAGCGCCGCGCGAGGCCACGGCGGGCCGACCACCGCTGAGGTCCGCCAGCGATGGGCTGCGCCAGCGGAAAGCCGGAGCAGGGCCAGGGCCAGGTGAGACAAGGCCCCGGCGGGGCAGGAGCAGGAGCAGGAGCAGGGCACAGGGCGCGGAAAAGAGGGGGGTGAGGACTAGGGGGGGGTGGATATCATGGCGCGGGCTATGATATTTCCCCAGATTTCATGGCGCCTTTTCTTATTTCATTACGTCCCTGGCCCCCCCGCTGGGCCGCGCACATGCCGCCGGCCATGATTTGCACCCCCCCCTCTTGGACACCCCCCTCTTGGCCGCTCCCGAGGGCAGGGCCAGGGACAGGAGCAGGAGCAAGGCATGGTCAGGGTCTTCGAGGGGCCCCTGCGGCGACGGGCCGCTCCCGTGGGGCCTCTGCTGCTGCTGCCGAGACACCCAGCGTCTCGGCAAAGCGATCGTGCCCGGAGGCTCGACCCCCGTGCCTCCCGAGGCCCTCCGAGAGAGATGGTCCTGGGGGAAGGCCCGGGTGTCCAGGGTTCGTCTCCCTCGGGATCCGTGATTTTCAATCGTCAATTCGCAAGGCCTCGCTGCGTTTCTCACTCCTTGGTGCCCTCTTGCCGCTGCCGCTGTCAAGCTGGCGCCTCGAGACAACGAGGCTTACAGGCTCGAGGTTGTGCAGCGCGTTTCGCTCCCTTCGGGCCTCCGCGGGGCTCGTCGCCACGGCTGGATGCGCAGTTCGCCGCGCAGTTACGGCGGGAAGGCACCCCAGGATGGGTCTTTGGGGCGATCTTTCGCCCCTCGGCAGGTCAGCCAAAGTGTCGAACACCAGCCTCACCATGTTTTGCTGTCCGTCCGTGTCCGGCCCCATGGGCCCTGCTGGAGGCGCCGGCGGTGGTCCGAGAACGATTCGGTGTGAGAAGCCGGCCAGGGCGGAATGGGCTGGGAATGGCCAATGACCCTACAATGCCGTAGCTAGAAAAATGAAGGCATCGTCGCTCATACGCCCTGCCAGCAGCAGGTAGACGGGCAATGGCGAAAAACTGGCGGGGTGCGGTGCCGATCAGGACGTTTTCTTGCAGGTCCCTGATGGGGGGCGACATCCCGCCAGGGCACCTCGGAAGGCATCATATGCCCGGGGCGGCGGGGGACGAGGTCCGAGGATCGAGGATCGAGCTCCGATGGTCGAGGTTCTTGAGCGAGGTTGGGGCCGTCGTGGGCGTCCGGGAGGCTTCCCCGCTACGGCAGCGGCCGAGGCGGAGGAGGAGGAAGGAGAAACGGGGAAAGGGCAAAGGAGGAGGAAGGGGAAAGGGGAAAGGGGAAAGGGCAAAGGACAAAGGAGGAGGAAGGGCCGAGGTGGAGGAGGAGGAAGGGGAAAGAACAAATGAGCGGGAGAAACGGAGACGGAGCAGTACGGGATGGAGGGGAGGATCGGGCGGTTGGTAAGGGGGGGTGGCCCAATTGGGGGGGGAAGATGAGGGCCCCAAAGGGGCCCGTTTGCGCCCTTACAGGCTCCAAAAGGGGCCCTAAAGCGCTTCTTTCGGCTCCTCTTCTTCACCACCCGCCCGAGAGGAGGAGGAGGAGGAGATGGGGTAAGGGGGGCGGAGGAGGACTGGCCCAGGTTTCGCGCGCGAAGGCCGCGCGTGAGCGCCCTCTTCTCCACGCGGTGTGCCGCGCTGGCGGCTCGCGTAAGCCGCGGCGTAAGGTCGTTGTGTCAGTTTGCGCAAGACCCGTGTCTTTTCCTTGCTCAGATGGCCTCCATTTCGGTGGCAGCTAATGGGAGCCTCCCATGCCATCTTTTTGGCTCCTACGAATCGACGCTAACACACGCTTACTCGGCGCTAACCGACGCCAATCTATGCTCAATCGGCGCGATCTCATCGATTGCCAGACGCTAGTCGATGCCAGTGTACTATAAGGACGGACTTGCAAGGGCAGACAAGGTTCCCATGGATATGCTACCGAACTCCACGGGACAGCAACCCAGACATGCGACGTCTTGTTTCTTTCAGTGCTGGGCCCCAGGAAATGCCGACGCCTTCCCCGTGGCTGGTTTTCCATCCCGGGTCGTTTCTGACGGTCAGGGGCCCTGGGGAGGGCCTCCGGAGGCCGAAGGTGGCCGAGCACCTCCCGTCCTGATGTTTCTGGACGTGAGCATGTTTGGTAACGCACCTGTGCACAGCAAGACTTCGGAGGTCCTCGCGGCGCCTGGCGGCCTCCCGGAGGAGGAGGAGGAGGAGGAGGAGGAGGAGGAGGAGGAGGAGGAGGAGCAGGAGCAGGAGGAGGAGGAGGAGGAGGAGAGGAGGAGGAGGAGGAGGAGGAGGAGGAGGAGGGAGGAGGAGGAGGAGGAGGAGGAGGAGGAGGAGGAGGAGGAGGAGGAGGAGGAGGAGGAGGAGGAGGAGGAGGAGGAGGAGGAGGAGAGGGGGGGGGGGGGATCCAGGCGGCGCAAGCCCAGCGCGGCCCTTAGCGCGCTTCTGTGCGTGCCTCTCGCGGCAGAGGAGGGGAGTAAGCGCTGGTCCCAGGGAGTCCCGCGCCGGACTTGCAAGAGTGTGTGTCTACGGTGGTGTTGGTGCTCCTCTTCTCGTTCCCATCGGTCGTTGGCATTGAGTATGTTTGGAGCCCCAGGTCACAATCTACTTCTAGGCGCCTTCCTACTTCAATCATCGAGTGGTTTTTCCTCGTCCTTCCTCTTCGGGGTCTGGCAGAAACAAAGCCTTCTTACTTCATGTTCCTACCCACTTCTTCCGACCAATGGGTGCTGCTGTTTCAGCTGTCCTTTTTCCGAGGAGAAGGGTGAGGTTGAGGAAGAGGCATGTTCATGATTTGGTTGTGCGTCTTGTGTGCTTGTTTCTGGGGCCGCTGGGGACATTCCGAGGAGGTTCGAAGTTCCAGGATCTTATACGTTTTGTGTGCATTGGCCCTTTTCTCGTCCTCCAGAGACGCTCGAGGGGTGGCGCACGATGTGCCCGCCCTCTTGCTCCTGCATGCCCGTTCTGTTCTGGCATCACTTCACATCGTTTAGTTGTCGATTCGGGGTCGATGTGCATCATGTTTGAATCAAGTTTGGTCGATCGCGCATGCACCCCGAGACAAGCAAGACGTGGCGAGCATGGAGGACGCGCCGAAGGATAATGATGAGGATAATGGAAAGTAGTGGGACGCGGACGAGAGGGGGGCGGACTGGGAGGGACGTGAGGGGAAGGACGAGGAGGAGGAGGAGGAGGAGGGGAAGCTGGACCAGCAGGTGGAGGAGAGGGAGAAGAGGACGAGGACAATGATGTGGAGCACGAGAAGGAGAAGGAGGATGAGGAGGAGGAGGACGAGGAGGAGGAGGAGGAGGAGGAGGAGGCGACGACGGCGATAACGCCGCCGACGACAAGAGTGAAAACAATGAAGCGGGGGAGCATGAGGAGCAGGATAGTACGGATGTTGGCAACGACGACGGCAGAGATGAGGAGAGGGTTTGGTGAGAGGGGAGAAGAGGTGGAGGGGGAACAGGACGATGAGAAGGAACAGTGACAGGGGGAGAAGCTCCCCATGCGGCCTTCCGCTCCTGGTTGCTCCTCCCCGCAGAGATCTACTAGCCTGAAGTAAGCGGATCCTGAGTGAAACGGGTCCTAGACCGCCACCCAGGACCAGATCTTCGTCCTGAATCGTTTCTGACAGACCTGGGGCCCGTTGGGGCCCCAGGAAGTGGAGGACGGAGGAAGCAATTCAGGAACCGTTTCCCTCAGGATCTGTTTCTGCCATGGCGAACCCATCGGCGCGACGTTCCCCGAGAATTCTTCATTGGGGGGGCCAGGTTTTCATCCTGAGGCGCTCTCCCACGGTCCCGTGGCCCGACGCCAGCCTCCAGGGGGCCCAGCTGCCACGAAGTCGGCCGTCTCGACTTGTGCGGGCGCGCCCGCCCGTGTGGAGCCGGAGGTGCCAAGGCCAAGACGGGGGCCGACGCGATCGTGAAGCCGATCAAGGAGCGCGGCGGGTCGGCGGCCTGCGGCGCGGCAGGCGCGGGCATCCAGCGCTTCGGGGAAGTAGTGGTTTGGCCCGAAGGTGGGCGAAGCCTTTCGGCAATGCAGGCATCGGAGGTGGATAGACCTCCCACCCTGACACGTCGATTAGCGAATTGGCCGTTTTCGGTTCGCGAGAGGGCGTCGCGGCCGTCCTTTTTGCGGTTCCAGGTCCGTCGATTTTGGTCCCGGGCCCCTCTCACTAAAGGGTGGTTTACTAAAGGGAGGTCTGTCCACCGCCGAAGGCAGAGACCTGCATTTGCCCAACGTCAGCAGGTGCGAAGCACGTGCCGGATGGACAGGCCAGTCGGATGTCTCGGCAGCTCGGGTCGTTCGGTGGCCGTGCTTGGCGCAGGCCAGCACGGATCGCAAGTCAGTGCGTCTCGATGGTCGGGGAGTAACGCGGGGCGAAGGCTCCTTAGAGGCACCCCTGCTTCTCAGAAGGCGTGGGCCTTACCTGCAGGTGTAAGGCTGGCGCCTTCTGAGAAGCAGCATCCTTTGGAGAAGCCTTTCCCCCTCCCCCCCCCCTGGCCCCCCCCTGTGCGCACCGCCAAGAGAGGATTGTCCGACAGGCTTTTCGCACCAGGCGAGCTCGCCCAGATTCGGAGCCCCGAGCCTTCGCGGATCGAGCCGGCTCGAAGGGTGCCGCAGGGAGGTGGGGTTTGGGGCTCCGGCCGTGGTTTGCCACTACGCGCTTATTCGCGACGTCGGACCTCAGGATTTGCTATCCCCCATGGGGAAGCTGTCGGCCTCGACTCCGTCCTCGTAAAAGTTCTTTGTGGCGTCCCTGGAGGCTCTCGCCGACACGGCTGGGGAACAGAGGAGATGAAGCTCGGCTGGGGGAGGGTTCTACCGCCCAGCGCGTTCCTCGAAGCATTGTCGTTCTGGGCGCCGGAGGAGCCAGGTGCAAGCAGTTGGTTCAGTACATCGCCCTATGCTATCTCTCCTTTTCGTGTGACCCAGTGGGGAGCGGGACGATGTCGACGTCGCCGTTTCAAGTTATGTGTTTGGGTGTCCGTGGAGGTTCTCGTCGCCACGGCTCACCGCTTTCGAGAAGCTGGAAGGGGATTGTGGTCGGGGGCAGGGCCGGGATGGAACTTCGAAGGGAGTCTTTGCTAAGTCAGAACGGGGAACGGGGGAGAATAGAGAAGGGAGGGGCACGAAAACAGGGAAAGGGAGAGGAGGTGGCAGGATAGGGGAGCTTAACCCAGCAAAGCATTGTATGAACAGCAAACAGCAAAAGTGAAGACTCGAGCTGAGGAGTAGGAAGTCGGCTATAGGGCAAGCATACAATCCGAAACGAGAGCACTTCGACCTCAGGACCATGCGCATTTTCGTGTCTTTTGACATGGGATCGTGGCCGTCGGGACCAAACATGCAACCGCCACCAGGGCGAAAATGCCATTCTTGAGTAATTGGTGAAGAACTCTCCTCGAAGCGGCTGGCGGAGCGGGCCATCTCGGGTGGCGGTCTCGGGCTTCTCCTTCCCTTTCCCCTGGGATCTGTGAAGGAAACGTAGCATCGGACTAGTAAGCCGCTGGGATCTCATAATTAGCGAAAAACTGTTAGATAACGATAAAGGAAGAGGGCAGATGCGGGGGAATGTGGATGAGGGTAGCGGAGGGGAAGGCAGGACGTGGGGGGGGAGTGGCAGTGTGAGCGGCAGAATAGACGTTCGTTGTTGGAGCAGGCGCGGCGGGGTGGGAGCCGAGCGTTTAGAAGTCATGCATGGCCAACGAGGTTTCTTACTCTAATTGGCGCGGCCCATCGCAACGCAGGCACGTGCCAACCTCTCCATGTTTGAACCTTCTATACTGTGCATCGCTAGCGCTAGCTGGTTGAAGCAGCCGCCTTCTAGTGGGAATATTCTCGATGGTCGATCGTTACTCCTGTGGTAAGTTTCGGCGAACATGTGCCAGGCTGCGTTGTTGAAAACACTTGGTCATGATACATACATTCACGTCTAGCCATAAGCGTTACATTGCCTATGTACGTATGCGTGTTGGGACCAGCATCGCACCGACAAAAGCTAGGCAAATTTGTAGAGCGCCCGCGTGTACGCTCACATGCTGGTATGGAGCATCGATCGCAGTCGTGGCATCAGTACTTACGCTCTGGACAGGACGGCGGCATTGGCCATGCCCAGCTCATCTACGACAACCCGGGCAAGATTACGGACATTCTCTCTTCTATCTTTTGTCCAGGTTTGTGCCCCCACTTCATCCCCTGCAGCAAAGCGCTTACCCAGCCGGCTGGCCAACGTGAGGGAAGTGCGCACGAGGGGAATAGTATTCAGCAACGGAGTCGATGGTGTCGAAAACCACTGGGCGTCGCGAACTCAGGCTTTCGGAGCAGACTCTGGAGACGCGACGCCACCAGGGGTGCTGGGAGGGGGTCCACGGCCGACCAACAAAAACTGCGTGAACCTCCGACGATCTGTCTAGATGTAGTTGCTTGGTTTTCTCGGGGGTGGACAGAACCCCCACCCTGACACGTCGATTAGTGAATTGTCCGTTTTCGGTTCTCGGGAGGGCGCCGCGGCCGTCATTTTCCAGGCTTGCGCCCGCAAGGTTTGGGCCCGAGGTCGTTTTCACTAAACCACGTTTTACTAAAGGGGGTTCTGTCCACCCCGTGGACAAACATCGGCGACCATGGTTGTAGAACGAAGCATGTTGAGTGTGCCAAGTATTGCGTCAGAGAGACATCCCGTTGTGGAATCGAAAACACCGCGTATTCTACGTTTGCAATTTCGCATTCGAATGTTCAAGCCTCAATTGTTTAATTTGAATTTCCTTCCCAGTACGACAATCAGGTCGAACAGCGACACTCATCCGCGGTCAGTCGCAATGCCTTGTTTGATTTGATCGTTGTTGCAGGGGGGCACGTGAATTGCTGTTGCATGGGTTATTGTGCTCTCCCAGACCTGGGGTACGTGGGTGTTGACTGCTCGTCTGCATAAACGCTTGAGTAGCTGGGCCCCTCAGGCTGCGAGGTCTCGAATTCTGCGCGCCACGTTGAGCTCACCGGCGTGCTCTATGAGGGTCTTTGGCCGCAAATCCCTGTCGATGTCCGCTGTGCCCGGGACGCCGTTGTCGGCATTCTCTGGGCGAAGGCGCTGGTGTCGTCCAGATCTTGAGGGGCCTCGGAGGGGGTTCAGTTGGTAGAGACGCAGGCTAATGCAAAAGGGGGTCTGCCATAGCGCCGAATTTTGCATGATCCTGCAATGCCAGGATGCATTGAGACCAGTTAGCGCGCAGGATCCTGCAGGATTTTCCAGGATCTTAGAAGGCCTGACTGATCAGGGCTTGCATTGACCCGGGTCAGTAGACGCCCCATTTGTGTTCCCGCATCCGCCCCTCGGTCCGCCGCCGACGTTCAGCGCCGATTCCCGCGCGCACGCCAAAGAGCACGTCGTCGGCGTGTCTCTGGCGCTTTCTCGTGGGCGAAGCACGTGTCCGTGTCCGCGGCCTCGCGGCCTGGGCTTCCGGGCCGCAACCCCGCCGATACGGGGCAGTGTTCCCTGGATGCCCCGCGCGGAACGTATCCGTGCGACCGCGTATCCGCGGGATCGCGCCCGGGAGCCCAGACTGCGAGGGCGCGGATACGGATGCGTTCGCCGCTCGTGATTTACTGCGGCCGACGGGCTGTACGCTGGGTGAGCTGCTCTTGCAAGCAGCGAGTTGCCCAGTGCTAGGTCTCCCAGGTGGGGTCCCGGGGTCGGAGGATTGGGCCGCATCGCCGATGCATCGGCGATGCGACTCGACGCAGAGCCCGATCTTCTCCACCACGACGGCGACGATGCATCGCCGATGCCGCCGACGCATCGTCGACGCATCGGCGATGCGTTGGCGATGCGGCGCGATACTCCGACCCCATCTGTTCGAACTTTGCAGTCACGGCGCTGAGTGAAGGAGCAGCTTATGTTCGGGAAGGGCTCGATGTTCCATAGGTCCCTCCATGGATGTTCCTCTCGCCGTCCTCGTGTACGCAGACGCTCTTGGAGCCAAACATGGGCTTCGATCCTTATCTATCCTTCCTTGTTCTGTCAGCCCGACGGTATTTGGGAGGCCTCTGCCAGTCCGGCTTCAGGGCAGACGCCAGTCGCCGATCCGTCGCGTGCCCGAGGCCCGATCCGATACGCACCCGTTTTTCCTGTGCAATTTCTGGCAAACGTCGGAGCAGTGCTTGCATAGCTTGGCATGCACACGGTCAGTGACGTCAGTTTGGTGCAGAGGAGCCCCGCAAGAGACTGAACGTTTGTTGGACACGACGGCCCGATACTGGCAACATGCGTGCATCAGAGTGCTTTCATCGTCCGACGTGGTTGTCGTGACTTGATCGTCGAGATCAAGCCTGAATGTTTCGTAGATGACCCTCAGAAACACGTTCCGAGGTTGGAAGATCTAGGTTTTGAGCGTTTTCGATTTATCTCTGACCTCTGGAGGCTGCCAGGTGGCATCCAGTCGTCGTCCAACACTCGATCGGAGGCGCAATACACGTTTTTCTTGTATTCGTGTCGACTTCTATCGGATTTAGACAATGTTCGAGCCTGGCGAATATGTTCACGTTCGCGCGAATCTTTCCAGCGGAGTTTAAGTGCGGAGTTTAAGTGTGACAAGAACCTGCCAGTTCGAATGGCATCAATCAATCAATCAATAACGCCGTGTCTGCACGGCACATCAGCTAAAGAAATGGCGCCAGCTGGAGGCGCATGTCCAGACCAAGGCACAAAAAGCAAGGACAGTTCCGGAAGAAGCGTACACCAGCTGGCGACTGTCTTCCACGTGTGTGCGAGCTGTAGCGCGCAGGACTGAGAAATCGCGACACATCGTTCTCCTGAGGGGCAGGGGGCAGGGAGGGTCGGGCCGGGCGAAAGGGGGGGATTGGGAAAGGGGGGGTTACGAAATTTGCTGCATGCAGCTGGTTTCGGCCTCACCGAGGGGCCCATTCCTCGATACATCGCCGCCTCCGGCGCCGGGAGGCGCCGGGAAAATCAGCTACGTGAGCTGATTCTCAAACCCCTCCTTTGCTATCCCCCCCTTTCGCCCGACCCGAGAGGGGCAGGGGGCAGGGAGGGGGAAGAGCGGAGGGGGAGGCCGAGGACGAGGACGAGGACGGGGAGAGGCCCCTGATTGCCGAAGGGGCGTGTGCTCTGACCGCCGAGCCCCACATCAGCCGGGGGGCGGCCTCGCCGCCTCGGTGCTTGTGGGCCGGCGGGCTCAAAAGGACGAGGAGGAGGAGGAGGAGGAGGAGGAGGAGGAGGAGGAGGAGGAGGAGGAGGGAGGAGGAGGAGGAGGAGGAGGAAGAGGAGGAGGAGAAGCGAGGAGGAGCGAGGAGGAGCGAGGAGGAGGACGAGGAGGAGGAGGAGGGTGAGGAGCGAATCAGGCATGGACGCGATCCTGCCAAAAGACAGCTGCTGGAGTAGAACTGTTTGTGGCTCAATGGCGCTTCTTGTGTCCGTCGGCGTATTTCTCTGCATTCGTGACTCGCGACCCCATGGGGTGAGGCATGCCCAATACTTGTCGGAGGCACTGCGTGTGGAAGGCATTGAACTTGTCTCGGTCGGCTTTCTTGACGCACAGCGTCTCGGCACCGTAGGTCATTTTGCTTATGGTAGATGCCCGGAACAATATGAGCTTTTGTGATCGCCGGGCGTTGGCGTGCTGCCACAACAGTTTCCAAGTGTGAAAGGCAGCCCTGGCCTCTCCGATTCTTCTGGCCACAGTTAAGCCAATGCCGCCATCTGCGCACAAGAGACCCCGCAAATAGACTGCAGACGTCACCGGCTTCGCCGGGCCCCACTAGGAGCGACGATGTCCAAGTATGCCTGACTCGTAGATGCACGGTCTTCGCCAAATTGGGCTCTGGTCCGTACGCGTGGGCTCTCACAATGAGACGATTCACAAAATGGTTTGCCCTTGGTGCACCATCCGAAAGAATCGCCGTATCGTCGTTAAAAGTGGCATCAAAGCACATGCAATCCAGCGGAGTCGGGCCGAGCTCGTTCACCAAGTCAGCCTGCACATCTGTCGTGAGAACGGACAGCATAATGATGAAGAGGTAAGGTCTCAATGGACAGCCTTGGGCGATACCCGCGCCGATTGGGCGAGTGCTGGTAGAACCATGGCTATCTGTCATGTCGATCGTGCGGTTGGGATAGACGCTCTCGGTCATGTCGCAAAAGCCCGCGTAATGCCAAACCGGGCAAGAGCAATGTGGAGGGATGCTGGGGAGATCTTGTCCCAGTTTACGAGCATAGCTGAACGTTACCCGTCCTTGGACGCCCAGGTCCTTGCCATCGCCCTTAGAAATAAGAAAATCACATCAGTGGAACGCCTCTGTTTCCAGAAGCCGAGTTGTGTGTCCCTCAGCTTCTCCTCCACTCCTCCAGTCGCCATTCTGTTCAGAATGAGGCTCACAACGACACTAGCTGACCGACAAGAGAGAGAGAGAGAGAGAGTGGCCGGTTTCTCTGCGGCAATGACTGGTCGTTTTCTTGTTTTTGAACATTTCTGTTGTTGCGCAGTGTTTCCACGATTGTGGAATGCACGGGCATTCCCAACACTTCTTGCAAACATCAAATTGACACGCCTGCTCACTATGGCGTAGCGCCTTCCAGAAGCTAGGAGGCACTCTATCTTTGCCCGCCGCCTTACCCGCCTTCAGTTTTGACAGTTCCGCGAACAATTCCAACGTGGAGATCCCGTCGAGGTTCAAGGCAATCGCGTCGTTCAGCCTGACCCCTTTTGGAAGCGGGCGGTCACCGAGGGGAATTGTCCATTGCACCTTCCCGAAATACGTTGCCATAGTTTCCGCCCTTCTGCCGTCGTCAACCGGACGGCCGCCTTCGTCACGCCCGCGGCCTTGGCACTTGCGACCTCTGCTCCGGAAACGCTCCACACTCTCCCAATCATTTCCAGTAAGCATTTGATCTAGCCACTCCCTTCGGTCCTTTTTCGCAGATGCTTTGATCTGCTTCGAAAGGTGTTTCTCCAGCATGGCCTGGCCGGCTCCCAGGGCATGATCGCGCAGCTCGATCAAATCTAATGTCCGAGTCTGTATCCATGGCCGGTTGGGGCGCGCAGCCCTGCGGAGTGGGCTCGCGCCGGTGGAATCGTGCATGGACTGCTCGATGAGCGTCGCCATGCCTTCTGGGGCGTCGTCCGCTTCAGCCCCGCCGTGTTGGGCGCCACCTGCGCGGGATACAAACTCCACGGCAAATTGGGCTGCCATGCTCGGCATGCTCAAGGACGCCCAGTCCAGAGACGTCCTATTTGTTTTGGGGGACGTTTTAGGTACATGAACGAACGTCCAGCACATTTGTGACCAGGAAGGGGTGCGAGCCGAACCCGATGCTCCTGTCTGAAGAAATTGATCGGACTCTCCCGTGCAATCCTGCCGGACAAGGACGTGGTCGATTTCCGCGAAATTGCGCGGAGTCAGCTCAGAGGCGGCAGATGCACCAATATAGAAATATGTCACCCGCTGCTCTGCAGGTTTCCGAGGCAGACTTTGCAATCGCAAGGCCCCGTGAGGTGCAGTGCTCTATCAACACATGTCACATGCTGGTTGCTCAGCGGCCCAGGCCAGGCGCAGCTGTCGCCCCAGGCGAAGGGGCCTACGACCTCCGAGTCGCAGAATTCTCGGTGGCCAAATCGTGCACAGAAGCCCCCCATCGGCTTCGTTATTCCTGTCAACAAAGACAAATCACAGAGGAATGTGCGACGGACTTCGAAATCAAGGCCCGAGTGCGGAGCATCTGCGCAAGTGAACGACACAGACCCTCCGGGAGCTCTGATCTGGGGCCTGGTTGATCGATTGTTGTACTGTATGAATCTCATGACAGCGTGCCGCTCCCGTGGCGCCACAACGAACCTCACCCCAGCATGTTCCCGTGTATTTTCGGGCCGCCCGAAAGTATCATCAGGCAGCCCTCGCACGTGAAGAATGGCGCAGCGCTTATGTGTGTCTCTTGCAAGGTGACTATGGCGAGCTCCCGTTCCTTCATGATGGTCATGATTTGGTGGAGTTTTGTGCAGTCGGCATCTAGCCGGAGTCTTTTCTACATTCTATGTGGCCACCTTGGAAATGTTCAGTGGACGTCGTGTTCTTTGGTCTCTGAAGCGTCCTGGCCCCCCGCCTTGCTTCACAAAGTCAGGAGGTATATGTAAACGTGGTTGGTCATGATTGGGACCACCGAAAAAGAATGTGTGAAATAAGAGAAAGAGGCAGGCCGCCGAGATCGTGGCCCGCTGGAGCGCTGGGGATGGGAGGGTGACCGCGTACGTGCCGAAGAAAAGTTCGGGGTGGTACCAGTGGTGAAACGCCTGGCCACTGCCAGCGTAATAGAGCTTCGTCTCTCCAGCTCTCACGGCCAACAGAATGCCAGTTCTCAATATGCCGATGCGCCGTAACCCTTATCCGCGGCAAGCCGCGGATTTGTCCTTGCCCTTCCCTGCTCCTTTCGACCTGCCCGCGCTTTGCCCCCTGCTGGAGCCTGGTGGTCTGGATGCTTCATGATTTCCATTCTGGATCGCGTCCCGCCTTTCACGATGACGAGGAAGATTTTGCCCTCGCCGAAGTAGAGTGTTTTCCCAGGTCTGCACAAAGCACGCTTTTTGCGAAACCCCAGTTCAGGGACAGGGATTTGGCCCCGAACACCATCGACCGAGCGACGCGTGCTTTAACGGGCAGGTCCTGTCTTGCCCACACTAACCGACCACGGGCGATAATAAATCATACCCCCCCTTCACCCCCTCTATTTTTATTATCCCCGTTCAACAGGATTTAATTATGGAGATGTGCGCGGAGGCCGAACTTTATAATCCACGGGGGAAGTCTGCTAGTTTAACACCAGCTTCGCGGCACGGAGCTTCGACATCGCTGTGTCACGGTCTGCCGCCGAGAGAAAGTTTGCGAGCATGCGGTTGACAGATCCCCCTCTCGAGTAGAGCTCCGGCGTGCCACAGCTGGTCCCAAAGCCTTTTCTTTGCTTCAACTTTATTTCCGAGGAGCTCAAGCTGCCGAAGATGGCGATGGCCGCGTGCCTGGTCGAGGGTAGGGGGCCGCGGTCGGAAGTGAGAGAGCACAATTCTGATCCCAATTTGCTCAGGCGACCCGCCACGCGTCGCGCGAGACCCGATCCTGAAAGGGACGAAGCTCGCAAGGCGTTCCGCGATTATTGTGCCTTGGCCTCCAGACTGTCCAAGCGGCCCCTGAACAGAGCGGAGTCGCGTTCGTCTGCCTTGAACTTCTCGGTGCAGTGCTGCTTCAATGTGCTTACCTCGTGGCTCACGCTCCCGATGCTACGTTCGACGCGCTGCACGTCCTTCTGTAAGTGCCCGACCTGCTCCAGGAAGGGTTGCAACTTCTGGTCCATCAGGCCGGCGATCGCTGCCAAGGAGATTTCACCTTGTTGTTATTTTTGTTGTTGCTGATGTGAGGGCACCCCTGCTTGCAGGTATGTGTCTGGTGGCGTCGTAGGAGTAGGGGTTGCCAGTGTGCAACTCCAGTCGGGGAGGGGAGCCGGGGGAGTCGACAGCGTCCAACTCGTGGAGCGGGCTGGGTAGGCGTTGCTGGACGTCACGCTCAAGCTTTCCTCGCACTGGTGTCCCTGACGCTTGCGTGCTATTGCCAGCCATTGCGCGATATGGGAAAGGAAACGGGAAAGGTGGTGTGGTGGTAGAAATTGGGATGCAAGGGCTAAAAACGAGCGGTCTTTATGTCATCCTCATGTTTAAGTGATGTATGCTGGGATGTTCGAATGGTATCCTCAGGTCTTAATGATTGACCACTCCTCTTCTCTCGAATACGAGGAATGCTCTGCACGGTCCCTCCCGCTCATCCCAACACGTTACTTCTCGGAAGCATTTTGATGTTCCGCATCGTTTTTTGCGATCTGTTTGCTTACCTGTCTCTTCGTTTGTTGTGTACCCATTGTTCCAGGAGTTCTACGACGTTGAGACGAAGAAGCTGGGAGAGGGCTCCTACGGATCTGTGAGCAAGGTGCCGATTTTCCGTTGTCTTCGCCTCTCGCCTCGGCGTTTAAGAGAATTGCTTCGAGTTTCATTTCGTGGTGTTCCGTGCGGCTCTCGGTGTGTGTATATATGTATAAGTATATAGATTGATAGATCTGTGCGTGTGTGTGTGTGTGTGTGTGTGTGTGTGTGTGTGTGCGTGCATCAGGCCTTGCAGTTAGTTACGATGCACGATGGCATTCACGATGGCCGCGGTTCCGACCCAGGTGTGTGAATATCCTGTGGGTGGGTGGTGGGAGCAGAAGATGGTCGAGGGCGCTGATTCTGGTTCTCTGCACTGGCCCTAGCCTGGCTGTCTAAGTGTTTCTTCTTTCAGGCCTGAATTATAGAGTACACGTGAGAGTGACCCTTCGCTGGAATGGCCTTTGTTGAAGCCGAGTGGGGCCCCCCGATCGCTCAACGAGACGCGACAGCAGCGGCTGGCGCGCTCGGGTTTGGCCTCCCGCACCCGCCTAAAGTCACGCACCACAGGTCACTTTTGCAGGGTCCGTTTGATCCGATCGATCCCAGTCAGTATCGACTCCAGCCGGCCTTATTCTATTCGATTCCGAGTTTTGGGCGATCCGATGCTGCCTGACGCTTGCATGGCGCCGTTGTGAATCCTGGCGCAGCCGATCCGATTCGATTCTGACTCAGTGCCGATGCGGTCGGATTCGATGCGCGCTCCGGTCCCATCCGATTTCTTGGTCCGGTGCTGATTGATCCTGCTCCTGCGTGTGGCCGGGATCGATGGGGTGCAGCCGGCTGCTTGCCGCCGGACGTCCTGGCCAGCAGAGCACGGCTGGGCCGAGTTGGGGATCATGCTCCTTCTGGGGCGGAGGGGCCGCCCACGGAGCGCCACAGGCGAAGAACAAGACCACCAGCGCCGTCAGGGCGGTCAAGTCCATCGCCAAGGCTCGGGGGCCACATGTGAACCCAACCCCCACCCCCCACAACACTCTGTGTGTGGGGGGGTCACTTCGTTCAGGAGCTCCCGAGCGGGGTGACCCCCCCCCCTAGAAGTCGTGTGGGGTGGGGGTAGGGTTCACATCTGGCCACCTGCAGGCGCAGATGAAGA